GTGTTAGAGAAAGGGTTATGTAAGAGTCCTTCCAGCATTGATTACTCTGGAGACCAGAGGATTGACTGCGCAGTCCAGCGTCCCACCATACATCAGCCTGGGCTGTCATTATTGATTACCCCGGCAAAATTGTGATGAAGACAGCATACTAGCAGAAACTCCTCATGCCACATGTCTACCATGCTTTAAACACGAGAAATCACCATCCGTTTTTGGCAGTAAAGTACACAGCAGTTGGCCTCCGTGCTGCTGGAGGACCAGTGTACCCCACCGCCATTTACATTAGCCTCCTTTGGCCCCCTTCAGCACATCCAACGTTACACTGCATTTTATTCCCTTCCTCGCACGCACTCTAGGAGCATAGCCAGTTCCTCAGCAGTACTCCTTCTGTTAGACTCTGTTTATCCCCTTTTTTTTTTATTTTTAATGCACAGGCGCTGCTAATCTTCTCTGTATCGTTCCAGTTATAACAGATGATGAGTGCAGCATCCCTGATGGTGCTAGTGGTGTCTGCTCTTATCAGCACCCCTAGCTGCCGCTCGGGTTGTTTCTCAAAAAAAAAAAAAAGTCCTCAATATTAGAGTCAAAAAAAAAAAAAAAAAAAAAAAAAAGAGAGAGAGAGAGAGAAGAGGGGGCTGACGATGCAGGGTCTGCAGAAAGTTTCTTTGACAGTTTTTCAACCTGCCAGATTCCCTTTTTGTTTTTTCTGCAAACATGCGGGATTCACACACACATGTTCCTGCATCCATCTGGACATCCGCATCGTCCGGATCCAGTTGAAACAGTCCTGATGTGGCACATGCGTGATTCCACATGCCAGGTTGTACTGTCATTAATTCAACCATTAACCTTTTCTGGCATCCTAATTTCGCCCATTCTCAGGTGGCTTGAAATAAATAAATAAATAAAAAAATAAATAATGATAATAAATTTCAGGCTGCTCTATGCAGACTCTGGCCGCCACAAGGGAGATCGTAACGAACTCCGGACCCCACTGCTTCCATCATTCGAGAAAGTCTGCCATGTGTTCGCTACTGGTAATGCTTTTTTTTTTCCTCTGGGTATGCTTTCTCAACTCATCAATGGGTTGCACCTTCTTGTTTTTTTTTCTCTTTTTTTCTTTCTTTCTTTGGGGCTCGTTCGACACTCCTCGGGGCGTCCTCGGGCCCCGAGGAAAAAACATTGGAGTCGCCCGAGGAATTTCCCACCTTCGTTCCACTCATCCTCGGAATTGTTCCCCGAGGACGATTCCTCGGGGCCTTCCGCGGCCAGTTTGATATATCGACGAGCGGACGTGGGGTGGGTCCATCGCGAAGTGTCCGTGCGGACGTCGTTGGTCCACCTCGGGCGGCCGTCGCGAAATTGGAATTTGGCGGCGAAAAAAAAAGAAACAGAGAAAAAGGCGCGCAGTCCCGGGTTCAAATTTTGAAATTCGAATTTCCACAAGCAACAGACGGCGGCGTGGGCGTCCCTTGCGGCTGACGGCAGCACCGTTCGTCGGCGGAAGCGTTTCGGCATGGGGTGGCAGCTGCATGTGGGTAGGACACGCCGAACGTACATTAAGACGTCTGAAGCAGTCTACACGCCGTCACACGATCGCCGTCGTTGTCGTCTTTGTCGGCGCACCTTCGTCGTCGACGTGTACGCTGTGTTGTGTGGCCCGCCACATGCGGAGTCTTCTGCAGTTGGCGACGGCCACGTGGACAGTGCAATTTCCGGCAATGGCCATGAACGGGGGGAGGGGGGGTGACACATTGAGCAAGGCGGAGAGGACGGCGGTGGCAGCGGCTGTGAACGCTGTCCTCTTCCTGTGTCAATTGCAGAGGGGCGAGGGAAGGATGAGAGCGGCCATTCACGCACGGCAGAAGAGGACGCTGCAGTCGTTCCATGCGGAGGGAGAGGACAGTGCTGCCATTTTGCGACGCCGTGCTGCAGGTGTGCTACGCCATGGGGTGTGGAGCATTCCCTAGAGCGACGCCGAGGTGGTGGATGAAGCGACGGACGGGCGGGACATGGGAGGATTTGCTGCATTGCGACGACGCGACGGCGGACTACTTCAAGGACAAGCTGCGCATGTCGCCAGGTGTGTTTCGAGAGATCACGAAAGCTTTGTCTCACTTCCTTGAACGGCGTGTCACGCCATCGCCCTCGTCGCCACTGAGCCCCTGTTGGAGGAGTTCGGTGTACGACTGGGCATAACCGCCGCCGCGGCTTCCACAGAGCTCTGTAGCCGCCCACTCTTGGGTGGACCCGCTACCCAGCGGCACGGTCCGTGAGTGTCTCTCCTCCTCCTCCTCGTCGGACGTGTCCGGCAGAGGCTGAAGTGTGGTGGCAGGTGCGCGTACCCAGGCCGCTCCGACGGCCTTGAAGTTCTCGACGGGCTCTGCCCAGCGCGCTGGCCACTGCCCTGATCCCCTGCAGACCTGCACATCACCTGCCGCCCCGCCATACTGACGTCCTTCTTCGAACACCGTCTTTTGCGGCCACGTCGCGGACCGATGCCGACGAAACACACGTGGAAGAGAACTAACAGCAGGAGCAGGAGGACAACGAGCACCAGCAGCGGCAGCCTCCGAAAGACGTCGGCCATGAAACGCACTTGGACGACGACAACAGCTAGAACACAACGGTGGACGTCCAGAAAACGGCGAGGGTAAGTGCCGCAAACGGCCGATCGCAGCTACAGACAAAACCAGCGTAACGTTTTCCGTCGCGGAAGACAGTGCGCAATCGGGAGAGCGGGGGCCGGCTGAAGTATTCGAATCTGCCGACCGTTGGGTGCTTTCACGCGGGTGCCGAAGGGCAGCGACGCAAGGCAGCCCCTTCTCGACGGCGCGGAGGATGGCAGGCCGCCCAAGGGGACCGTTGGCGGACTATTCCACGACGGGAGCTGTTGCGAACCGGAGTTGTCCATCCACAGGCCGCCAGGAACAGCAATGGACCGCCCGCGTCGAAAATTGTCGTCGAGGGAGCTGCCGTCGACGCCCCGATTCTTCCGGATGCTTGACCTCCAGGTCCCTTGGGGAACGCCTCGAAATGGCTGTAGCCCGAGGAATCCCCAAGGAAATGTTCTCATTTTTTTTTCTTCGTTTTCTTCCCCGAGGATAAGTGGAATGATGATTTCCTCAGGGATTTTATGCGCCCGAGGAGTGTCGAATGAGCCCCTTTCTTTCTTTCTGTTTTCTTTTTTTTTTTTTTTTTTACTGGGACTTTTTTTTGTTAATAGAAGTGCATCATTTCGTGTCACATGGAAAAGAGAGGCCGGGAATTCCTCACAAACAACCCAGAAAGTACTGGGGCCATTACCCAGCTTCGGCTTGTGCTGGAAACAGGGTCCAGCGTCCCTTACTTTTCCCATTTGAAACGACTAACAAACACAACTCTTGAAGCACAGGCTGGTGTAACCAGCTCCTCTCAAATGTCCAAAGGCAACCAGATCTAGAGCTAGGCTATTCATACGTGGCATAAGCAGGCCGTTCAATCACCTAGCTCTCTGGTAGCAGCAAATTTACATACAATCATTATACGTAAACCCCACCTAAAAGTCTACTTCCTCAAGTGGGATCAGCTACTTCAGTGTTTTCGCTGTTCTTCATGTGATTGTCTCTGCATAGTCTTCATTTTCATGATGATCAGCCTGTTGGCCCTGTTTCATCCGAGCAGAGAAGTGTCACGCCATTCTTGCCAACATCTCTCTCTCTCTCTCTCTCTCTCTCTCTCTCTCTCTCTCTCTCTCTCTCTCTCTCTCTCTCTC